TCCTCAAATCTGGGTTTTCTGTTCTCACCAGTCCAACTGTAGGGGTGTGATCAAAACCTGCTCCTGCCAACACATTTTAAGTTTTACCTCTCAAGTCATTTTAGAAACTTTTAGGCTTTGTTCATGTTATTTGGAAAGCCTACCTCTTCTTGTTTGTAGTCAGGATGGCCGAGTGGTCTAAGGCGCCAGACTCAAGGTTAAGTACCTTCCAAAAATCCGGGATTTCTGGTCTCCAAGTGGAGGCGTGGGTTCAAATCCCACTCCTGACAATTACTTTGGAAGACAAAATCTAAATTTGACCAATTCATTTATAAAGGAAACAGTAATGCTTTGTTAATATTATTTTGAAAGTCTACATCTCCAGATCCATACTCAAGATGGCTGACTAGTCTACTACCCCAGACTCAAGGATCACTACCTTCCTCAAATCCAGGATGTCTGGTGTCATCACTCCAAATGTAGGGGTGGGTTCAAAACCTGCTCCTGCCAACACAACATTTTAAGTTTTACCTCTTAAGTCATTATAGAATCGTTTAGGCTTTGTTCACATTTTTTTGAAAGTTTACTTCTTCTGCTGTCGAGTCAGGATGGCCGAGCGGTCTAAGGCGCCAGACTCAAGTCATCAGTACCTTCCTCAAATCTGGGATTTCTGGTCTCTGAATAGAGGCGTGGGTTCAAATCCCACTCCTGACAATTGCTTTGAAAGACAAAATCTAAATTTGACCAATTTAATCACAAAGGAATCTGTAATGCTTTGTTACAATTATTTTGAAAGTGTATATCTCCCGATCCATAGTCAAGATGGCTCAGTAGTCTGTTGACTAGTAGGTACGATCGCCGTGAGGTCTAAGGCGCCAGACTCAGACTCAAGGATCACCACCTTCCTCAAATCTGGGTTTTCTGTTCTCACCAGTCCAACTGTAGGGTTGTGATCAAAACCTGCTCCTGCCAACACAACATTTTAAGTTTTACCTCTCAAGTCATTTTAGAAACTTTTAGGCTTTGTTCATGTTATTTGGAAAGCCTACCTCTTCTTGTTTGTAGTCAGGATGGCCGAGTGGTCTAAGGCGCCAGACTCAAGGTTAAGTACCTTCCAAAAATCCGGGATTTCTGGTCTCCAAGTGGAGGCGTGGGTTCCAATCCCACTCCTGACAATTACTTTGGAAGACAAAATCTAAATTTGACCAATTCATTTATAAAGGAAACCGTAATGCTTTGTTAATATTATTTTGAAAGTCTACATCTCCAGATCCATAGTCAAGATGGCTGACTAGTCTACTACCCCAGACTCAAGGATCACTACCTTCCTCAAATCCAGGATGTCTGGTGTCATCACTCCAAATGTAGGGGTGGGTTCAAAACCTGCTCCTGCCAACACAACATTTTAAGTTTTACCTCGTAAGTCATTATAGAATCGTTTAGGCTTTGTTCACATTTTTTTGAAAGTTTACTTCTTCTACTGTCTAGTCAGGATGGCCGAGCGGTCTAAGGCGCCAGACTCAAGGCATCAATACCTTCCACAAATCTGGGATTTCTGGTCTCCAAATGGAGGCGTGGGTTCAAATCCCACTCCTGACAATTGCTTTGAAAGACAAAATCAAAATTTGACCAATTTAATCACAAAGGAATCTGTAATGCTTTGTTACAATTATTTTGAAAGTGTATATCTCTCGATCCATAGTCAAGATGGCTCAGTATTCTGTTGACTAGTAGGTACGATCGCCGTGAGGTCTAAGGCGCCAGACTCAGACTCAAGGATCACCACCTTCCTCAAATCTGGGTTTTCTGTTCTCACCAGTCCAACTGTAGGGTTGTGATCAAAACCTGCTCCTGCCAACACAACATTTTAAGTTTTACCTCTCAAGTCATTTTAGAAACTTTTAGGCTTTGTTCATGTTATTTGGAAAGCCTACCTTTTCTTGTTTGTAGTCAGGATGGCCGAGTGGTCTAAGGCGCCAGACTCAAGGTTAAGTACCTTCCAAAATTCCGGGATTTCTGGTCTCCAAGTGGAGGCGTGGGTTCAAATCCCACTCCTGACAATTACTTTGGAAGACAAAATCTAAATTTGACCAATTCATTTATAAAGGAAACCGTAATGCTTTGTTAATATTATTTTGAAAGTCTACATCTCCAGATCCATAGTCAGGATGCCTGAGTGGTCAAAGGTGCCAGACTCAAGGTTAAGTACCTTCCTAAAATCCGGGAGTTCAGGTCTCCAATTGGAGGCGTGGGTTCAAATCCCACTCCTGACATTTTTTTTGAAAGACAAAATCTAAATTTGACCAATTTAATCCTAAAGGAAACCGTAATGCTTTGTTAATATTATTTTGAAAGTCTACATCTCCAGATCCATAGTCAAGATGGCTGACTAGTCTACTACCCCAGACTCAAGGATCACTACCTTCCTCAAATCCAGGATGTCTGGTGTCATCACTCCAAATGTAGGGGTGGGTTCAAAACCTGCTCCTGCCAACAGAACATTTTAAGTTTTACCTCGTAAGTCATTATAGAATCGTTTAGGCTTTGTTCACATTTTTTTGAAAGTTTACTGCTACTGTCTAGTCAGGATGGCCGAGCGGTCTAAGGCGCCAGACTCAAGGCATCAATACCTTCCTCAAATCTGGGATTTCTGGTCTCCAAATGGAGGCGTGGGTTCAAATCCCACTCCTGACAATTGCTTTGAAAGACAAAATCTAAATTTGACCAATTTAATCACAAAGGAATCTGTAATGCTTTGTTACGATTATTTTGAAAGTGTATATCTCCCGATCCATAGTCAAGATGGCTGAGTAGTCTGTTGACTAGTAGGTATGATCGCCGTGAGGTCTAAGGCGCCAGACTCAGACTCAAGGATCACCACCTTCCTCAAATCTGGGTTTTCTGTTCTCACCAGTCCAACTGTAGGGGTGTGATCAAAACCTGCTCCTGCCAACACATTTTAAGTTTTACCTCTCAAGTCATTTTAGAAACTTTTAGGCTTTGTTCATGTTATTTGGAAAGCCTACCTCTTCGTGTTTGTAGTCAGGATGGCCGAGTGGTCTAAGGCGCCAGACTCAAGGTTAAGCACCTTCCAAAAATCCGGGATTTCTGGTCTCCGAGTGGAGGCGTGGGTTCAAATCCCACTCCTGACAATTACTTTGGAAGACAAAATCTAAATTTGACCAATTCATTTATAAAGGAAACAGTAATGCTTTGTTAATATTATTTTGAAAGTCTACATCTCCAGATCCATACTCAAGATGGCTGACTAGTCTACTACCCCAGACTCAAGGATCACTACCTTCCTCAAATCCAGGATGTCTGGTGTCATCACTCCAAATGTAGGGGTGGGTTCAAAACCTGCTCCTGCCAACACGACATTTTAAGTTTTACCTCTTAAGTCATTATAGAATCGTTTAGGCTTTGTTCACATTTTTTTGAAAGTTTACTTCTTCTGCTGTCGAGTCAGGATGGCCGAGCGGTCTAAGGCGCCAGACTCAAGTCATCAGTACCTTCCTCAAATCTGGGATTTCTGGGCTCTGAATAGAGGCGTGGGTTCAAATCCCACTCCTGACAATTGCTTTGAAAGACAAAATCTAAATTTGACCAATTTAATCACAAAGGAATCTGTAATGCTTTGTTACAATTATTTTGAAAGTGTATATCTCCCGATCCATAGTCAAGATGGCTCAGTAGTCTGTTGACTAGTAGGTACGATCGCCGTGAGGTCTAAGGCGCCAGACTCAGACTCAAGGATCACCACCTTCCTCAAATCTGGGTTTTCTGTTCTCACCAGTCCAACTGTAGGGTTGTGATCAAAACCTGCTCCTGCCAACACAACATTTTAAGTTTTACCTCTCAAGTCATTTTAGAAACTTTTAGGCTTTGTTCATGTTATTTGGAAAGCCTACCTCTTCGTGTTTGTAGTCAGGATGGCCGAGTGGTCTAAGGCGCCAGACGCAAGGTTAAGTACCTTCCAAAAATCCGGGATTTCTGGTCTCCAAGTGGAGGCGTGGGTTCCAATCCCACTCCTGACAATTACTTTGGAAGACAAAATCTAAATTTGACCAATTCATTTATAAAGGAAACCGTAATGCTTTGTTAATATTATTTTGAAAGTCTACATCTCCAGATCCATAGTCAAGATGGCTGACTAGTCTACTACCCCAGACTCAAGGATCACTACCTTCCTCAAATCCAGGATGTCTGGTGTCATCACTCCAAATGTAGGGGTGGGTTCAAAACCTGCTCCTGCCAACACAACATTTTAAGTTTTACCTCGTAAGTCATTATAGAATCGTTTAGGCTTTGTTCACATTTTTTTGAAAGTTTACTTCTACTGTCTAGTCAGGATGGCCGAGCGGTCTAAGGCGCCAGACTCAAGGCATCAATACCTTCCGCAAATCTGGGATTTCTGGTCTCCAAATGGAGGCGTGGGTTCAAATCCCACTCCTGACAATTGCTTTGAAAGACAAAATCAAAATTTGACCAATTTAATCACAAAGGAATCTGTAATGCTTTGTTACAATTATTTTGAAAGTGTATATCTCTCGATCCATAGTCAAGATGGCTCAGTATTCTGTTGACTAGTAGGTACGATCGCCGTGAGGTCTAAGGCGCCAGACTCAGACTCAAGGATCACCACCTTCCTCAAATCTGGGTTTTCTGTTCTCACCAGTCCAACTGTAGGGTTGTGATCAAAACCTGCTCCTGCCAACACAACATTTTAAGTTTTACCTCTCAAGTCATTTTAGAAACTTTTAGGCTTTGTTCATGTTATTTGGAAAGCCTACCTTTTCTTGTTTGTAGTCAGGATGGCCGAGTGGTCTAAGGCGCCAGACTCAAGGTTAAGTACCTTCCAAAATTCCGGGATTTCTGGTCTCCAAGTGGAGGCGTGGGTTCAAATCCCACTCCTGACAATTACTTTGGAAGACAAAATCTAAATTTGACCAATTCATTTATAAAGGAAACCGTAATGCTTTGTTAATATTATTTTGAAAGTCTACATCTCCAGACCCATAGTCAGGATGCCTGAGTGGTCAAAGGTGCCAGACTCAAGGTTAAGTACCTTCCTAAAATCCGGGAGTTCAGGTCTCCAATTGGAGGCGTGGGTTCAAATCCCACTCCTGACATTTTTTTTGAAAGACAAAATCTAAATTTGACCAATTTAATCCTAAAGGAAACCGTAATGCTTTGTTAATATTATTTTGAAAGTCTACATCTCCAGATCCATAGTCAAGATGGCTGACTAGTCTACTACCCCAGACTCAAGGATCACTACCTTCCTCAAATCCAGGATGTCTGGTGTCATCACTCCAAATGTAGGGGTGGGTTCAAAACCTGCTCCTGCCAACACAACATTTTAAGTTTTACCTCGTAAGTCATTATAGAATCGTTTAGGCTTTGTTCACATTTTTTTGAAAGTTTACTTCTACTGTCTAGTCAGGATGGCCGAGCGGTCTAAGGCGCCAGACTCAAGGCATCAATACCTTCCTCAAATCTGGGATTTCTGGTCTCCAAATGGAGGCGTGGGTTCAAATCCCACTCCTGACAATTGCGTTGAAAGACAAAATCTAAATTTGACCAATTTAATCACAAAGGAATCTGTAATGCTTTGTTACGATTATTTTGAAAGTGTATATCTCCCGATCCATAGTCAAGATGGCTGAGTAGTCTGTTGACTAGTAGGTATGATCGCCGTGAGGTCTAAGGCGCCAGACTCAGACTCAAGGATCACCACCTTCCTCAAATCTGGGTTTTCTGTTCTCACCAGTCCAACTGTAGGGGTGTGATCAAAACCTGCTCCTGCCAACACATTTTAAGTTTTACCTCTCAAGTCATTTTAGAAACTTTTAGGCTTTGTTCATGTTATTTGGAAAGCCTACCTCTTCTTGTTTGTAGTCAGGATGGCCGAGTGGTCTAAGGCGCCAGACTCAAGGTTAAGTACCTTCCAAAAATCCGGGATTTCTGGTCTCCAAGTGGAGGCGTGGGTTCAAATCCCACTCCTGACAATTACTTCGGAAGACAAAATCTAAATTTGACCAATTTATTTATAAACAAAAACGTAATGCTTTGTTAATATTATTGTCAAAGTCTACATCTCCAGATCCATAGTCAAGATGGCTGAGTAGTCTAATACCCCAGACTCAAGGGCCGTGTTCCGATAGCCGTACTACCCGTACTTAGTATACTTAGTTTGAGTACGTAGGGTGTTCCGATTATGATCGCGGCGAAAAGAAGTGTACTTGAAAGGACCCGTATGTGTACTCAAAAAGGCCAAAATGCTGAGTGTGCTACGGGGTACACTATGCGTACTCAACGGCAGCCATCTTAGCTACGTAGCGGAAGAGAACGTCTAATGAATTCACGTGTTTGGCGGGTGACGCGGCCCCGCAGCTGATGTCATTTCCGTTAAGTGCGCCACAGAGTATTGCATTTGGAACAGCACTAACATCTGAAGCTCTGCGTACCTATTGAGTACGGATAGTGTTCTATGTTTAAGTGTACTCATGGAAGTACGGATATCGGAACACGGCCCTGGGGCCTCATTTATAAAACTCTGCGTGAAACCCTCCCTAGAACATTGCGTACGCCCAAACCTCAGAATGTGCATACGCACAAAAACATTCCGATTCATAAAACCTCGCTGCGCACACCAGTACGCACTCTTCTCGTTATAAATACCAACGTGCGTCTAATTTGGCGTGCGTGCACGAGCGCTCTGCTCCTCCCAAGTCCATCCCTTAATAGTCCTTAAAAGGTCAATGCTAATTAATCACTTAATATTTATAAGTAGGAAGGAGCCTTTTCTGACCAATCATTAGACGGAAAAATGGATGCACCTTTTAAAAAGAAAGCGCGTTTTTCGGATTCGGAGATCGAAGTGCTTCTAAATGAAGTAGACCAACGCAAGTCTATTTTCTGGCTTATTTATCAAACTCATTATTTAAATGTTTAAGTGATACAGTTGGTCTGGCCGAGGATTGCGATTTGAAAGGGCTGTAGTGTGTTGAACATAATTTTGCTTTAATTCATATTTCATAATGGGTGCTTTTCATAAAATAAATATATAAATGAATAAATAACTCATGTGGTGCGCAATGTGCATTGGGTCCGCAATGAGCTCCGGGGGTTACAGCATCTTCTTCTTCTTTTGGCGTTATTGGCGGTTTGCAAAGACATATAGTGCATTACCGCCACCTTCTTCCTGTGGTCGTCTCCGGAGTTCACTGTTTGAAAAACTTTGCGGGAGCTTTACTCCAGGGTGACAGGATGCGTAGAACTGCGCACTCTTTTCCGCAAGGTTTTTTTCTATAAATCATGACGTTGGCGGTGAAAGATGCGTACGCACATTTCATCCCTGTTTCCGCAACATTTTCGTGCGCAGAGACCTTTATAAATGAGGCCCCTGATGACTGGCTTCCTCAAATGTGGAATTTTTGGTCTCCACGTGGAGGCGTAGGTTCGCATAGGTTCAAATCCCACTCCTGACAATTCTTTTTAAATCATGTTCCTGACGTTGGTTTTCATATATATTGATTGATTGATTGATACGTTTTATTAATCCCTAAGGGGGAGATCAGTAGCCATCGTACATACATGACATGAATAAGTAGGACAGACACTATCTTGTTAACAGTAGTTTCCTCCTTCATCTATTGCTATTTTGGATTTGATTTAAAAAAACATTAAAACACATGTTGCCATTGTCATACGCGTCATCAACATTATTCTAATTCTGATCCATGTTAAAACACTGTCTATTATCTACATATATTCATATCATTGTGTGCTGATGTTGTTCTTCCTGCCTATAGAGGGAGCTATTTAATTCCAGTCACTCTGAACTCATGTACAGATGACCTCTTTCTCCCTCAACTTCACCTATCTGGGTGGATCTGCTTCATTATGTAGGTATGTGGCCTTCAATTGTTATTAAGGGGTCCATAAAAAGTGTTCATCACAATTGAACAACCACCTAAGTAGTTGAATCATATTTATTTATGTTTCTGTGATTGTAGTAATTATTATACCTTTCAATTATAAATGCTGAAGCTCTATGAACTTTAGGCAAAAGTAAAATATGATTTTCTTTATTGATTTTATTGCTGTGGTCATGAACAGTCTGACAGAAAAAGACGTAAAGTTCTAATGTTTTTGGGTGGATTTCTCAGTTATTGATATTTAGGCTCATATATAAATATATCACATTATTAATGAAAATAGAAATTCTTACAACCAGCCAATAGCAGATGCAGTGTTGGTTCTAAATTCTACTGTTGGATTATTTCTGAATTCAGAATGTAACATTAAGTCTTGCTAATATTTTCACAAAGCACTACCTGAGCAAACAGACTCCATGTTTGGTAATCAGCCCACAGTGCCTGCAGAGATAGTGTCCGATAGTGTGATGAGGTTATTCCAGGTTTAGATTGTGGAGAAGTATATCTTCAGTCTCACCCCCTTCCAGCATCCCCCCTCCTCCCTCTAATTTCCTCCTTAACTCTTTTAGGTGTTGAGTATAACAGTCTATGAAAGAAGAATGAATAATGAAAGAATCACATTTCATGCTCAGAATCATAAACTCCGTTACAACTCTAATACAGTATTTCACTTTTAAATGACACTATCAATGTTCATTGTTGTATAACTTCTTAAAACATTTATATGAATGCAATCCGTCAGGCGAGCTCTATTTTTAGGTCAAGTTGGTCATCAAGATGCCAGAGGAGAGGTGAAGATATTTCTGTAGCTGCTCCACAAGAGAAGAGGACTTTGTTACCGATCAGGGAGTACATAAGGGAAACCAATCACTCACTGAACCAGATAAAGATACTATCTACTACTAGGTATGTGGCACTGCGTTATCAAGATCACCGCAGTACTTTATTCTGAAACTCGTTGACATCACAGTCTCCTAGTGACATTTGAACCCTGTGTTCCAGGAGGATGGTTGGGGATCGAGGTCCATGCAGTCCCACTCTGCTATAAAAGCCTTCTGAACTCGGGACACTTTCTCGACGAGCAGTGAACCCTCCAGGTAAGAAATGCTTAACTGAACCACATTTAACGTATATGTATCGTTACTTAACTTAACCTATCTTAACATAACATATGTTAACATGTCATAACCTATTGTAACATAACTTCTGTTATGCATGTTAACTTAATTTGTATTTTATTATTTTATTTGTATTCATTTTGTATTGAAATTTTAAGTCATTCATTTATGAAAACAAAACAGTTTTTTAAATTAAATTAAGTAACATAATAGTAACTACTTGTTAAAGGAGGTCCTGGGAGGTACTTCATGTAAGATATCTATTGGAAAACTGTTTGATTGGTCAAGAAGGATTTGTGTGTGTAAAACCCTGGGCAGTTTAAACATTCTCTTGATAGAAGAAAAGGTTGTGGTTATTGCTCTCCTCTGATCATTTCAAATACATTTGAAAACAAAGTGGTCAAAAAAGTGATGGTAGCAGTAAAAAACTGAAAATCAAAACAGGGATTTTTCAGGAACATTTCAGTTTTTCAATATCTAAAAGCTGAATTTCTATTTCCATTTTGATTTTTTTATCCCCAAGGACCCATCATGAAGTTTGTGGCTTTGGCTCTGACCCTCCTGCTGGCTTTGGGTACGTAGTAGTCCTCCTGCTCCCCCTCCTCTTCCTCCATCTCCTCCTGCTCCTGCTCCTCCTCTTCTTCTTCCAGCGTTGATCCATATTTAGGGATCAGGGGGTCTGACGTCTCTCATCTCTCCCCCTGACAGGCTGCCAGACCCAGGACGTGCCTCCCAACCAGTTGGACCAGATCCGGGACACAGCCCTGCTGTACCTGAACCAGGTGAAGGAAAGTGCGCAGAAGACTCTGGACCACCTGGATGGAACCGAGTATGCAGAGTATAAGTAAGGGGATTGGATCATGCTTTTATTTTATGATTCTTATAAATAATTCTTATAAAACAAATAATCTTATTGAGAATTATTAAACATTTTTTTTAGCAGAAGCAATACACATTTTTTTAGATCAATTAAAAAAAAAGGTTATATTTTGCGTCAAATTATTGATTTATTGAGTAAGTAGCCGTGTAATAAGCGGGATAATGCAGCACCCTGTCAGGGTTTATTTTGCA